CTTTTCATACAGCCTAGTTTTTCTTAGGTCCTGGCGTATGCGGCTTCTGCGGTGGACAATCTTGTCTAGCCGGAGCTGTGAGCAAAGCAGACCAAGCCAGAAGCTTTTCTCTCGAGGCTGATCTGAAATTGAACGAGAAGCAGAAGGAAGCTGAAGAAGTATCGTAGACAGTTTAACGCTTACCTATAAACTCACTCTCAGTATGTTTAGGTCCTGACCCTTGTTCGTGATGTCCTTCATTCTACGGCTGCTGCAAAGAAAGATGCTCAGGAAGCTTTGGAGGTGGCCCGAGCAGCCGCTCAAAAGACGAATTCTTCTAGGGCAGAATTGGATCAAATTGTAGATCAAATGAACAATTTCTTGAAGAGCTCGAGGTAGCCAGCTTTCTTCGTCAAAGTCTTTGATCAAAAATGGTAAACCTTTTTGGTTTAGGAGTTCCCCAGAACAAATAAGAACACTTGCTGAGGAAGTACTTTCGAAGAAGATCAGCTTGACTCCTGAGCAAATAGCCGCTCTTACGTCAAAGGTTTGCAATTTTTTCTCATTGCTAGCCATCAGGTTTGTTAAAAAATAACCTGGATTTAGATTCGCGATTCTCTGGCCAAAATTAGTAACATTGGCGCAATTCTTGCTGAAACGAGAGGCAATAAGACGTTAGCATCAAACCTGGAATCGAAGGTAGGCAAATCAAGCATAAATGCTGAATCAAAAGGATACTCAGTGAGTATTCTAGGCTTTGGAGGCAAGTGCTCGTGCTGCAGCCATAAAAAATACCACGGATACTGTGCGAGAAGCGATCCAAGTGGCTGAAGAAGCCCAACTTGCAGCCTCCGAAGCTATTCGATCTGCTGACGAAGTGATGAAGCAGGCAAAGTATCGTTTATTGTTATTCATCACAAGTTTTTTCACTCTTTTTATCCCCTCTATCATCGCGTACTGCATCGCTGTGATTTAGGGAACATCTCGAAGCTGCTAAGAAAGAAGCCAATGCTACGGAATCCCGAGCAAAAGAAGTCAATGCAAGCTTGTCCACTCTCGAAGGTGAAATGAAGAAAGTCAAAGTGCAGTATCTCCAAATTGCCGATGACGCTAAAAATGCCTTCCAACTGGTTGACAAAGCTCTGCAAGCTGCTCAGACGGCTGAACAAGGGAATAAGCAGATGACGGTGAGGAATTCGATTTTATATGTATATTGGACTGGCATGATGTCTTTTTGTTTAGATGGACATCGAAACAGCGCAAGGACTCCTTTCCAGCAGGACACAAGGCAACGAAGCTCCACAGAAACGAGCAGAAGCGCTACGACAACGAG